GGTCCACCGCTGCACATACAGGTGGACACGTACGCTGTGCTCTCTCCCTCTCAACCAACTCACCACTACCATGCTCTACATAACCAGGTGACCAATGCTAGGGGCGAGCTTTTTAGGCCTTTCTCTCTTGCTCTCTCTCTCTCTCTCTTTTGCTCTCTTTCTCTCTCTCTCGATCTTGTTCATTCTCTTTCTCTCTCGATCTTGTTCTTGCTCTTTCTCTCTCGATCTTGTTCTTGCTCTCTCTCGATTTTGCTCTCTCTCTCTCGATCTTCTCTTCTCTTCTCCTCTCTCTCTCTCGATCTTCCTATCTCTCTTTCACTCTCTCTCTCTCTCTCTCTCTCTCTCTCTCTCTCTCTCTCTCTCTCTCTCTCTCTCTCTCTCTCTCTCTCTCTCTCTCTTTCTCCTTTGCTTTCTGTTTGTTTGTGTTTTCTCACTTCTCCCCTCTTCCTTCTTCCTTCTCGTCTTGCTTACTATCGCGTATTTTTGTTGTTGTTGTCATGTTGAATTGCTTGCTTGCAATCGCTTTCCCACTCCATCTTCTTATTTTCGTGCTTGGTTAATTTCTCCTGGTTTATCTGCTTTTTCCTTTTTTTCCTCTTCCTCTCTTATTCCTTCTTTTCGTCTCCTATCTCTCTTCTCTGCTTGATTGCCTGTTTATTGGCTTTATTTTTTTCTTTTTTGTTATTACTGTTACTTGTTCACTAATGGCTTGTATTTTTTCCGAATATTTGTTCATTTTTGCTTGTTACGTTTTTTTTTATTATTTATTTGTTAAATGAGTGCTTATTTGTCGTTAGATTGCTTGGAGCTTGTCTGTTCCTTCTTTCCCTTCTTTCATTTTATTTCTTTGTCTTGCCTATTTCCCTGTTTTATTGGATGCTTGTTTATTCTCTTTTACCTTCGCTGTTCACATCACCGCTTTTTTTTTTTACTTTATTTTCTCTATTTGTTTGTCGAGCTGTTTGTCTATCTCCTGTCTCTCTCTGTATATCTATCTATCTCTTTCTGTCTATTCTCTCTCTTTGCTTCTCGTTGCTTGCTTGCTTCTCCTCCCCCCACCCCTCCTCCCCCCCACCTCTTTACCCTTGGCTTGCATTCCCTTCCATTCGCCTCACTTCCCCATTCATCTCCCTTTCCTTCATCTGCCTCATTTTCCCATCATCCTTATCATCATCACGTTGGTAATCCTGCTCATCCAAACACAGCAAACCCTGTAATGTTGGTAATGCTGAGCCATCGCGCCCGGTAATGTTGGTATTCATGAAAAGTGTCATGTGGCAAATTGTATCTTACAAGTCTTACTATGATGTATCCTACTGTTTATGTGTCTTGCTGTATCTTATACTTTATGTTTATGTTTTCGGATGATGAGTTACCGCACTACCACACCAGGCGCTGTTGGTAATGCTGCTCCTCAACACATGGCAATAATCATGTATGCATGTGTGAATGTGTGTGGCAGTGATAAGGAAGAAAAAGATAAATACCGGTTGTTTTTTTTTATCTTAGGTTTGAATTATCTATATATCTAGTGTGTGTTTTTTCCTTGTTATTTCTCTCCATTTCTTTTTTAAAAATTCTCTTGGTGTTGAGAGACATTATAAACGTGATTTTTTTTTCCCAATTGCTGTTGATCCCATCGACTCCTGAAGGCTGAGACGTTCGACACAAGAACGATCTTGCGGACAAAAACAAGACACATCACAGAGTTGTCCATCTGGAACACTCACTCTGCCCTGCGACCTTCAAGAGCCCATTATCTCTCTCTCTCTCTTTCTCTCTTTCTTCCTCTCTCTCTCTCTCTCTCTCTCTCTCTCTCTCTTTCTTCCTCTCTCTCTCTCTCTCTCTCTCTTTCTTCCTCTCTCTCTCTCTCTCTCTCTCTCTCTCTCTCTCTCTCTCTCTCTCTCTCTCTCTCTCTCTCTCTCTCTCTTTCTCTCTCACACACACACACAAGACCACTGACGAAATGACAATCTCGCTGAAAAAATGGAGAATGGCGCCGCACTTAGACCAGGAAATTCGAGTAGATTTCACACGGTTTACTGCGTGGGTCTCATCAAATTACTGGTGTAATGGATTTATCTTTTTATTTCATTTCTTTTTTTTTAACTCTCTCAGCCAATGTACTTGAGCTAGAAGAGGTAAACGTATAATATAATCTTTGCGATTACAGAGTCCCCGATGTGTGGCTAACTATTCCTTTCACATTTTACTGTTTCTCGTTTCCAACAGCAATTGTTTTGTTTATCCTTTGGTGAAATACCTCCTCCCCCCCTCCCCCCTCCCTCCCCCCTTTAAAGCACCCCTTTCCCATCCACCCTTCCCTTCCACCATTCCATTCTTCCACCCTCCCTTTCTCTCTCTCTCTCCCACCTTCCCTTTTACCCTCTTCCACCTTACCCCTTTCCCCCCACCCTCCCTTACCCTTCCACCCCATCTACCCTCCCCATCCACCTACCCTTCCACCCACCCCTCCCCCTCCCCTTCCAGCCTCATACCCACCTACCCACACCCCCTCCTACCCATCCACCCACCCTTCCATTCTCCCCCATCCACCCCTCCCCTTCCCAAGCCACCCCACCCCCTCCACTCTTCCACATGGGCGCTGACCTTCTCCTTATCTTCCAGGGTCTGCCACTCCACATCCAGGTGGACACGTACGAAGACCCCCGAGATGCGGCCACCCTTGTACACCGAGGGTACTGCCAGATCAAGGTTTTCTGCGACAAGGTAAGAAAGAGTCTTGGACGCGATCGTGGGTTTTATCACGTCTGGCTGTAGAGTGTGATATATATTTTTCTTTCTTTCTTTCTTTTTTTTTCTCTTTTCTTTCTGTTTTTTTTTTCTTACTCTTTTTCTTTCTGTTTTTTTTTCTTACTCTTTTTCTTTCTGTTTTTTTTTTTCTTTCTTTCTTTCTCTTTTTCTATCTGTTCTATCTTTCTTTCTTTCTGCTTTTTCGTCTTTTTCTTTCCGATTTTAATTTTTTGGTTTCTCTATTCCTTTTCTTTTTTTGTTTTATTTTCTGTTTCTTTCTTTTTATTTGCTTTTTTTCTTCTATTTGTTTCTCTCTTTCTTTTCTTTTCTTTTTCTTCCTTGTTATTCTTAATTTCTATTTTGTTCTTTTTTTTTTTTTTTTTTTTGCTTTTTCTTTGTTATTCCTTTTTTCACAGTTTAATTCTCTTTTATCCTTTTCTTATTCTTTTTCAATTGATCATTCTTTTTTCTTTTTCTCCTCTGCCTTTATTAATTACTTGCTACTCTTTCTCTTTTCTTTTCTTTTTCTTTTCTCTTTGTATTTTTTCTTTTTCTCTATTCATCATTTTCCTTTTCTCTTCTTTTCCTTAGCTCTGATCTTTATTTTCTTCTCCTTTTCTTCCTTCATCCTTTCCTTTTTACTATTTCTTTTGTTCATATTTTTCATTTTCCCTTTTTTTTCTTTTTTTTTTGTTCATTTGTTTGGTTGTTCATGGTTTTCTTTCTTTCTTTTCGTTTTTCATTAATTTCTTTGATACGTGTCTTTGTGTCTAATAATATATATCATTAGTTATTCAAAATCACACGTTTTCAATAAATAATCATGATAAAGAAGGAGAAGAAGAAGAGGAGGAGGAGGAAGAGGATGTATTTCGTCGTATTTAATCAACATTTTCGTAATATCAATTCTATGCCACTTCATTTCTTGAAGAATAAAACATATTTTTATAAATTTTCAGTTTGATTTGTTTTGCATGTGTAGAATTAACATCATATTTGAGTGTCATTACCATTAACGTTACATTTATTTTAATTCTCCATTGGGTGGTGACATACTGGTTATTATTATCATCATTAAGTTATATGTTATATCATTTTTATCAATGGAATAGTGTTGATTGCAATAGCGTGTGCGAATCACCTAAAGATCTTAAAATTAATTAATTCCCAGTGATCATAGTTATATTTTTTTTATATTAGTGGTAGAGTATAGATATATAATGACTCATATCTCTAGTATATCACTTTTTTCACAATCTTGCGCATTGTAGTATTTATTTTACTTTAGTGCACCATACCTCACTATCAGTCTCACCACCCCCTCCTCCCCCTCACTTCTCTCTCCCTCTCTCCCATCCCAATTTTACTCACTCCTTCCTCTTTTCTCTCATCCCCTCCTTCCCTCTTACATTCCCTCCGTCCTTCTATATTATCCCTCTTCCCTTCCCATCACTCCTATCTCTATCTCACTCCTCTTCCCCTTTCTCTCACGTTTTCTTACCCCTCCTCACCCTCCTTCCCACCGCTTCTTTCCCTTCCCCTCTCTCTCTCTCTCTATCTCTATCTATCTCTCTTTCTCTCTCTCTCTCTCTCCATCTCTCTTTCTCTCTCTCTCTCTCTCTATCTATTTCTCTCTCTCTCACTCTCTCTCACCCTCCCTCCTTCCCTCACTCCCCCTCTCCCCCTTTCACCCTCCCTCCTTCCCACCCTCCCTCTCTCTCACCCTCTCTTCCCCTCTCCCTCTCTCTCCCACCCTCTCACCCCCTCACCTTCCACTCTCTCTCCCTCCCTTCCATTCTCTCACCCTCTCTCTCACCCTCTCTTCCCCTCTCTCTCTCTCTCTCCCACTCCCTCCCTATCTCTCACCCCCTCCTTCCCCCCTCCAGGGCGCCGAGAGGAAGACGCGAGACGAGGAGAGGCGAGCCGCCAAGAGAAGAATGGCCGCCACGACCCGAAAGAAATACGAGGACCTGTACCACCAGCCGTGCGACCGCTCCGAGTTCTATTCCATGTCGGATCTCACGAAGCCGCCCGTGCTCTTCACGCCCGCGGAGGACATCGATAAGGTGTTGTGTTGATTTATGTTGTTTTTTTTTTAATTGTTTGTTGTTGGTTTTTATTGTTTGTTGTTGTTTTTTATTATGTGTTGTTGTTTTTTTATTGTTTGTTGTTGTTTTTTTGTTTGTTGTTGTTTCTTTGTTTAGGCGTTTACTTTGTTTGGTGAATATGCCTTTATTGTTTGATATTTATTATATTTCTTGACGGTAAAGAATGCGGGTATTTTTTGGTATCTGAACATGAATTTATTTTTAATGTCTCGAATTTTGCTTTTTAAAAGATAAAGATGATAATAGTAATGATAGTAGTAGTAATGATAATAATAATGAAAATAATAACAATAATGATAGTAATGATAATAATAATAATAATAGTGAAGATGATAAGGGCAATAATAATAAGATAACTAATGATGATGATGATAATGAATCCTTGATTAAATCCTTAATTAAATCCTTTCTTTGCAGATGTCAATGGAACTACAAGGTTTCTACGGACACGACACAGAGAATGGGCAAGTATTTACTTCTTAATATAAACAGAATCAATTTTCTTGCAGTATTTAATCGGTAATGAAGCTGCTAGGGATAGGAAGCAACCATTCGGAAACCAATTTCAAAAAAAAAAGGGAAAATAAAAGATCTATGATATATGTTTTTTTTTTTTTTTTTTTTTTTTTTTTAACGCCAAAGTTCCAATTCGTTTTCATTCGTTCCAGATGTTTGTTTCCGATGACGTTTTCTTTTTTTTCACTGTGTTTGTATTTCATTCTTTTTCCCTCTAGATAGACGTATTAGTGGTCAGTTTAGTTTGAGGTTATTGAGAGTAGCACCTCCTTTATATATATATATATAATTTTATCTTCTCGCGTTATTGAAATCCTGTTCTTATTCAAATTATCGATCTTTCTCTCCTTCTTTCCTCTGTCCCCCTTCAAATAGCACTTGCATGATTGCATGTTGGCACGAAAATTAAACGAGGATAAGCAGGGTTGTCTGTTTATCATCGTTACCGCTCAAAAAAAAGAGAGAAAAAAAAAAACGAATATAAGGCCACGCGAGGGTAGACTTTTTTTTCGGTTCAGTTATGGAATTTACTGCAGGGAATGACAGTATAGTAATGATGGTGCTACTGCCTCGGTTGTGCATTTATTTTGGGCGCATTGTTATTTTTTTTCTTAAGCTATGTCAGCAAATTAGGAGTCTATAGAATTCTTATTTTGTTTTTGTTTTTGAGAGGAGGGAGGGTGGGTGCCATAAAAAAGGAGGCCCTAGAAATGAATCACAAATGAGGCAGTAGCACACGCGGCTTCAAGACTGATGCTGAATCCATTAATTTTGCCCCATATTTCCTATGCTATAGATCAGTCGGGTGTTTGCAGGGATTATGTAGTCTTGCTACGGAGCCTAAGCCCTCACCTGCCGCCACCTCGTAGTCCTCTGGCACTGTGCTCCTGCTGAATATGGGGTCAGAAGAGAAAATAACGACTGGTTAATTGCTGTTGGTGTGTCCTGTTACAAGCACTTTCGTAAACTGTCCAATTTGACTGTCTTTCCTTTGAAATTATTGTCCACTGAAGATTGAAACTTTTGAGTAAGACTGTTTATAATTGATTGATGAAAAAAATGCAACCAGGTTAGGCATCTGTTGCAACAATTAAAGGTTTGCAACAATTAAAGGTTACATGCAAATATCTAAGCCCGTAACTCCTTCAGTTAAGATAAAGGCACACACACCTTAAACCTCAGGGGGTCATTAGAAACCTATACCGAGCCCCAAGCATTGCATTGACCAGGAGATGAGAATCGCACGTAAGTCAATCCGTAACGGAGAGGCAGTGACCCGGGAGCGTGAGAAGCCGAGGGGGACCTGAGCCTGTCCCCGCGAGGCCGTCGAGGTGGTGGCAGAGGTGACAGGCGGCAGCAGTAGAGGTGATCGTGACGTGTGTTCTCCCCTCCCCCAGTGGCTGCAGTGTGGGGGTCACGGGGGCTGTAGGAGTGGAATGTTCGCCCCCCTCCAACCTCTCCCCCCAGCACGTGTTCCCCACAACCCCAGGACGCTGCATGTCCCCTCCGCACAGCCTCGACCCCCCGCCCCCTCCTCCTCCCCTGCCTCCCCCTCCTCCCCCAACCTCCAATATCCTATCCACCACCACTACTATCACCCAGTTAGCGCCCCTACAGGTCCCCCCACCCAGCGCCGTCTCGCCAAAAGCCAACAGCAGTAGCTACAAGTTCCACTACAGCTTCCCACAACCCTATGGGTAAGACACGCCCCGCTCCGCCCACGCCCACACTAACTGGGACCAAAGATAACCCCCCCTCCCCCTCTCCCTATACCCTATACCCTTCCCGTTGTACCCCCATGTCAAACCCCCCTACACCCCCTCCCTCACCCTCCCTCCCTCTCCGTCCCTCCTCCCCATGTACCCTCTGCCTCCCCCCCTCCCACTGTGTCTGCGTCTGACCTCCCCCCCCACCCCCCTTACCCCTTCCTACAATCACCCCCCATTCCTTCTAATCCACGAACTTGTCATTCCAACTAATCAAAACCTCATGTCGTTTGTCTCCGTCTGTGTATGTGCTTCGTCCGTGACACTTGATCCCCTTTTGCCTTGCTTCTGCAGCCAATCACATCCACGGCATCTTCTTCAGATTTACCTACATGTATACAGCTCATAAACAATTGTCTCACATACAGACACAAACCCTCACACACACTCACAAACAAACACACGAAAAATATAAACACACACATACACACACTCTCTCTCTCTATCTCACATTCACACCCTCTCTGTCACTTACACTCACAATTATACCCACACATATGCAAAGGCGCGTACTTATGTACACATTCACGGATAAACAAACAAACACAAAAGACATATACTCACACAAAAGTCACACTCTATATTAATTGTGATAAGACGCGTTTACAAGCACTGCTTTACCTAATACCATTATACTGTTCAACTTTCAAAATATCTATAACTTTGGGAAAACATTGACATATATTCAGAACGTTCTTTATACATGCCGAAAGTTGCTCCTGATTCACCTACATTTTTTTTAAATATTACGACCAAACGCTAACGCCAAATTCTTTCTCACTTACATTCATGGAATTACAATGTACATGTCACTCCTTCAGTATACTTTCTCTGTAACTCATCACAGTATCAGAGTATATTCATATGTGACACTAAAGACATATAACAACGACTACATGATACCTACATAGACAATGGAGTCCAGAGACTAAAATAAAACAATAATAAAATTCAATAAAATATATCTATACATACAATACACAATTCACCTACAGGAAAAAATCTTATGTATTCCTGACACAGTTCACACACAGAACATGATCTAAACTGCAATATGCTTGACCTTATCCCATTGCACATAGCTCCTGCAAGTTGCATAATGCTTTTCCTACCAACATATCCTCAACCTCTGCAACATATATTGGGTGTTGTGGCAGTCTGTATATTATGTGATTCTAAATGCCTGTGTCTTCTCTTTCCTTAGCTAACATTCAGGATGCAATGTGTACAAGGTATGTACGTATCCTCATGTGCGTGTAAGGTGCATGGAGCCACATGTCTACACAGGTACTCTGACCACATGGCAAACGAAATTATTTGCTACATTATTATGATTGGAAATCCTAGAATCCTACGTGTTTCTCGTTGGAATTGTTATGATTGGAAAATCGCATTGAATTACCTTTCTGTTTGTTTATTTGTGTTTGTTTATGGATAAACATGTCTGTGTAATTGCAAATATTTTAGTGTAAAGATGTTGAAGATATATGTGTACAAGCATAGCATTCACATGAAAAGGACCAACACTCACACACACACACACACACACACACACACACACACACACACACACACACACACACACACACACACACACACACACACACACACACACACACACACACACACACACGCGCGCGCGCGCGCGCACACACGCACCCACGCCATGCACTAGCTCTAGAGATGAATGACTCTTTATCTGCTTTTCTGTCATTTCTTTGAGGTTAAGATGGAAATAGTAGACAAAGTACAATTTGAATGTGATTCAGTATGGTCTAGAATTGAATGCAGATATTATTTTCTTATTTTTCTCTCCCCCTTTATTTTTCTTCCTTCCTTTCTTCTTCTTTTTTTGTGTGTAATGATGACATAATAATTACTATTATCATTGTTATTATTATCATTATTATTATTATTATTATTATTATGGTGATGAGGATTTCGTGTTGGACGGTTTTGAAATATTAAGCAACTCGCTATAATGATTCTTTTCCTTATTTGTTGATAATTTGTCCAGCATGAAATCTTCACATTTTTTTTCTTTAATATAATTCGTTACAGGTGTAGGTGGCATTCTTCCGTTGCAATGTCAGTCAGATGTCTGTCATTTTGTAGTTTAAAGCAATTTCTAATGACACTGAATTATATTTCTATATTCTCGTATTTACCGTAAGCTATTCAGAACTCAAGAATAAACACACACAAATAATAATAACGGATGATTTTACTAAGCATTCGGTCAACGGGTACGTTCCTCTCGCACTGAAAGCGATTTATTGTAAGGAAAAAAGAGAGACAGAAAATTTTAAAAAATAAGACAAACGAAGAACGAGATGCGTCCGATGAGCAACTCGCGCGCCAACCTACGATACCATCCCACATTATCTCAACATATTTCAAATTTATTTCCTCCAAACTATCCCCCTTCCCCCCCTGCCCCCCACTGATTAAACCCACCCACCCCACCCACCCCACCCCCACCCTTTCTAAAACCACACTCTCTCCCCCAACCCCCACGCTTACATTTCTCACACCGCCCTTCCCACCTGCAGAGACGGGCGTAAGGAGCTGACAGCCGGTCTTCCCAACGGATCCCTCGACAGCCCAATGGCCGACGTCTTCTCCCACGTATCCAAGAGGTCCAGACTCACGCCCCCCCTCACAGAGCGACTCATGCTGTACGTGAAGCAGGACGGAGAGGAGTACTACACGCCCCTCCATCTCGTGCCGCCCTCGACGGTGGGGCTCCTGTCGGCGGTGAGTGTCGGGAGAGGAAGGAAGGGGGGGAGGAAGGGAGGGGAGACGGAGGGAAGGGAGGGAGGAAGAGGGAGGGAAGGGAGGAAGAGGGAAGAAAGGAGAGGGAGGGGAGGGAGGAAAACGGGGAGGGAGGGGAGGGGAGGGAAAAAAAAAGGGAAGGAGGGATGGGAGGGAGGAAGGGAGGGATGGGGTGGAAGGAAGAAAGGAGAAGGAAGAGGGGATGGGGAAGAGGGGAAAGGATAGGAGGGAAGAAAAAGAGGGGGAAGGGAGGAAGGCCTTTTTCATCTTTCATCAGGAATTTAATCTAGTGTCATATCTGAATGTACCGTTTCACAGGAGTTTACCATCAACCAATATTTATATTTACATTCATATTCGCTATTCTATTCAAATGATTTCGATTTGCTTTTACTATCCATCACCTCGTTTCAGTCATATCACAGTTCTGTCTAAAAACGCCATAATTTCGCTCTAAGTGCACGATCAATCTCTTTTTCTTTTCGCAGATCGAGGAAAAGTACAAAATCCCCATGCAGAGTATCAAAAATGTCTACCGGAAAAATAAAGTCGGGTAAATATTGTTTTATTCTGTGTTTTTTCGTGGAGGAAAAAAATGAGAGTTCATTTGTTGGATATTCATAAAATTGAATGCTTGTATTGTCATCGTTCCCACCCCCCCCCCTCCCCCACAGCGTGATGGCCAAAGTGGACGACGAGATGCTTCGCCACTACTGCAACGAGGACATCTTCCAAATGGAGGTGCAGCACCGCGACGCCGAGAGCTACGACCTCACCCTCACCGAACTCACGCAGGTGGACCACTGAGGACCCGCGCGCCAGCCTCTGTCTCCCCGCCCCCCCCCCCCTCTCTCTCTCTCTCCCCCTCCACAAGTCCCCCACACTGTCATTCACGAGTGCACCATCTGTCATTGCCTCCTCGATGATGACAGCATCTTCGTCGCGGGATTTAGATGGAAAAGGGAGAAAAGGAGGAAGGAAGGAAGGAAGGAAGGAAGGAAGGAAGGAAGGAAGGAAGGAAAAGACTGAGGACTGGATGGCGGTGGTTGTGAAGGATGGAGGCCGATGGAGAGAAAGGATCCTGGTCTGGAGAGGATTTCGGCGGAGCGGAAGGAAGGAAGGATATTGACAGGGTCTTTTTTTTCTATTTCCTTTTCTCCTCGGAGGAATTCGCTTCGCGCTCTTGTTCTCCTTTCCCTTCTAGCTTGTATTCCCTTATCCACTTCTTCCTCCTTTGATTCCCTCTCCTCTTCCTCCTCTTCCCCTCCCCCTCCTCCTCCTCCTCCTCCTCCTCCTCCTCCTCCTCCTCCTCCTCCTCCTCCTCCTCCTCCTCCTCCTCCTCCTCCTCCTCCTCCTCCTGACCTCCTCGGCGTCCCCCAAGACGAGAATCCGAGCTCCAAGGAGGGCCTCGGCCGGGGAACGAGGCCGCCCTTCCTTCGACGGCGCCTGAAGCGAGCGAAGGCGAAGCAGCGGCGAAGCAAGAGGCCGGGGGAGCCAAGAGGCCGCGGAGGACAGCAAAGGAAGCGAAGGAGGCGTGGCCCGGCGTCCTCCGAGAAGGGACCGCCCACACGCCCGTGTCACACGACGGTGGTGTTGGAGAGAGAAAAGAAATCAGCAAATGACGGAAGAATTAAGGCGTATTGTACAAAAAAATGAAGCAAAAAGAATTCGTTTGCCTTCCCGTGAGGTGATCTCCAAGGCCCTGTACCACAGCCACAGACTCCACCGGAAGAGGTCAGAGGTCAGAGGTCGAGTGGCTGCGATGCTGACCCCGGCTGGATGTCAGAAGAGGGGACACCCCCCCCCACTCCCTTAAAGGGCTCTCTGGCACTCGTCGGTTATCATTATTGTTATGGATAATGGTATTGTTATGTTATTTTCGGATGGCCGGTGAATCACCAATGATTGTGTATATGTAGACTTCTAGAATCAAATTTATTCTAATATGCGCGGAAGACATAGTTATAGTACAGTTTACAGGGTATCTAATGCCTAATCGAGTTTAGATTTGTTTTAGTTATTAAATTATTCACGTACCGAGTTTATCTCTATAAACATCTCTTGATCAGCAGAGAAGCAGAGCTCAGTTTAGTTTAGTGGGCCTGTACATGACGTTACCCGGAATCCCGTTTTCTGTGAAGGTCGTGTTTGTGGAGTAAAAACGACCTCTCGGGATGCCTGTCTCTCTCTCAGCCCCCTTAAATCGGATCAAATCTGATTTGACGTGCGAGGCTTTAAGCAGCGCCCGTCTTCACAATGTAGTGCCTCTGCCGAGCGTCATGACGAGTCAATACTCTTGCCAACGAGCCTGTTTTGAGTGCGTCTTCCACGATAGTGCCATATTACCGGGGCGATGATGAAACGCCTCTTGATGCCCAGTGGGTCTCTCCCTTTCTCTCTTTCTCTCTCTCTCTCTCTCTCTC